CCTGTTGGCCATTCATATGTCTTCTTTTGAAAACTTTCTATTCAGGTCCTTTGTCCATTTTTTTAATTGGAGTTTTTCATTTTTTGCTATTGAGTTTTGTGAGTTCTTTATATATTTTTGATATTAACCCCTTATCAGATACATGGTTTGAAAGTATTTTCCCATCCCATAAGTTGCCTTTTCATTTTGTTGATGGTTTCTTTTGCTGTATAGAAGCATTTTAGTTTACTTTGATTCTGTTGCTTGTGCTTTGCAAAAAATTGCCAAGACACATGTCAAGATGCTGGTATCCTGTGTTTTCTTCTAGGAGCTTCATGGTTTCAGATCTTACATTTAACTCTTTAATCCATTTCAAGGTAAGTTTTGTGTGTAAAATAGGGGTCAAGTTTCATTCTATGACATGTGAATATTCAATTTCCCCAGCACCATTTTTTTGAAGAGATTGTCTTTTTTTTTTTTTTTCTATTGAGCATCCTTGGTTCCCTTGTAAAACATTAATTGACCATATATGCATGGGTTTATTTCTGGGCTTTCCATTTTGTACCATTGGTCTATTTATCTGTTTTTATGTCTGTACAATACTGATTTAATTGCTATAGCTTTTTTAGTATAGCTTGAAATCAGAAAGTGTGACGCCTTCAGCTTCACTCATCTTTCTCTGGACTGCTTTGGCTATTTGAGGTCTTTTGTGGTTCCATATACATTTTATAAGTGGTTTTTTTTTTTTTCTATTTCTGTAAAAAAAAAAGTCATTGGAATCTTGGTAGGGATTGCATTGAAACTATAGACAGCTTTTGGTAGTACTGACATTTTAACAATATTAATTATTCCAATCCACGAACATGGGATACTTTTCCATTTATTTTTGTCTTATTCAATTTCTTTCATCAATGTCTTATAGTTTTCAGAGTAGAAATATTTCCCTTCCTTGGTTAAATTTATTCCTAAGTACTTTAAATGGGGTTGATTTCTTTTTCAGAATATTTGTTGGTAGTGTATAAAAATACTACTGATTTTTGTATGTTAATTTTGTATCCTGCAATTTTACTGAATTCATTGATTAATTCTAATGGTTTTGGTTGAGTCTTTTTATATATAGGATTTTCTATATATAAAATCATAGGATCTGCAAATAAAAAACATTTTACTTCTTCCTTTCCAATTCTGATGCCTTTCATTTCTTTTTATTGCCTGATTGCTCTACATTGACTAGGAGTAGTGAGTAGTGAGCACCCACGTCGTGTTCCTGAGTTTAGAGGAAAAGCTTTCAACCTTTTACTATTAAGTGTGATGTTAGCTGTGGGCTTGTCATATATGGCTTTTATTATGTTGAGATATGTTCCTTATATGCCTAATTTATTAAGTGTTTTTATCATGAACAGATGTTGAATTTTGTCAAGTGCTTTTTCTGCATCTATTGAGATGATCATGATTTTTATTCTATTGTGATGTATCATATTGATTGATTTGCATATGTTAAACTATCCTTGCGCCCAGGGATAAATCCTACTTGATTATGGTGAATGATCATGTTAATGGGTTGCTGATTTGGCTTTCTAGTATTTTGTTGAGAATTTTTGTATCTATATTCCTCAGGTATATTGGCCTAAAGTTTTCTTTTCTGGTAGTGTTCTTATCTGGCTTTAGTATCAGGATAAGCCTGATTTGTAAAATGAGTTTAGGAGTGTTCCTTCCCCCCTTTTCAATTTTTTTGGAAGAGTTTGGTAATTCACCACTGAAGCCACCTGGTTCTGGACTTTTCATATTGGAAGATTTTTGATTACTTATCCAATCTTCTTACTAGTAATTGGTTTCAGATTTTCTATTTCTTCCTGATTCCATACTTGTAGGTTGTATGTTTTTGGGTTATATATTCATAGTAGCCTCTTATCCATTCAGCCATTGTATGTGTTTTGATTGACTAATTTACCTTTAAAGTAATTGTTGATAGGTTAAGGACTTACTATTGCCATTTTGTT